GGGGAAACCCCGGGGCAGCCCAGAGCGGACAATATCACGGGGCGGCTCCCTAGTGCAGTTACCGGTCCAACATTTATGTATGAAATGTTTGTATCACCTTTTATCTAATTTGAAGTTTAAAACGTAAGAGTATCATCCAGATTTTTACCTAAACCGGATAAGAGTTGGGCGAGTTAATGCAAATCGGATAAGGCTTAGTCGATTTAGATTAAATCGGACAAAGAGTATTGAGCGGTTTAGTCTTAAACCGGACAAAGGTGTAAGCGATTTAAAAATAAACTGATTTAAAAATAAACCGATCAAGTGTTAAGCGGTTTAGTCTTAAACCGGACATGTTTTAACCGGTTTAAAAGTTGAGCGATTTATGTACCTTGATTTTATAATTAAGTGTTTCAAAGGAGAAGTATGAATACGATCATGTGTTGTCCGGATTTGTTATCCGGATAAAAGTGTTGGAATTTATTATAAGTGTTAAATCGGACAGGTCTTGGGTGATATATTGTCCGGATTTCGTAAACCGGTCAAGACTTGACCGGAGATGAAGTCCGGCCAAGTATATGTTGACCAGATTTGTATTATGCCTTGTGCTCGATTGATAAAAATTGTTATTTGTCATAAAATGGGAATTTTGATAAAGATAATTTTGAACTGATAATAATTCCATTTGACTGCGGTCTATTTGGAATTATTTTTGTGAAATGTTTTGATGAGGAAATAAGGGTGGCATATCAAGGAGAGGTGTACCATGGGATAAGGGTGGCATATCATGGAGAGGTGTACCATGGGATAAAGGTGGCATATCAAGGAGAGGTGTACATTTGGATATAAGGGTGGCATTTGTATGTGTGTTGTATGATATAGCTCTTTCTATTATATCCCTTAAGACTACCGTGGTCTGAAATCTTTATTTCTTTGTGATGTAAAGATTTAGGATCAAGGTTCTTATTGGAAATCATAGTCTGGATGTTATTGAGGAGAAAATAACAGGTTTGGCATGAAACTTTAAATAAACCTTGTTTGAATGAAAAAGGTTTAGAAAGTGGCATTATTTGAAATTGGTAAACCTGTTTGGATTTGTTGTATTATTGCAGGCAGAGAAGCTTGGCTTGAAAAGTGAAAGGTATTGGTATTATATTCTTACTTGTTCATATATATTTGTGTTATATATATATATATATATATATATATATGAAAAGTTGTTTTACTTACAAAGTTTTGGTGATTTCACCTTGCAATAACATAAATAGGGTAACTCACTAGACCTTTCGGTCTAACCCTCGTTTTGTGATTTTAAATATGTATTGCATGAGGTACAGATGGTAAGGGAAAGGGGAAAATGTGATATTTTTCTATATGCATTTCTACATGAAGATTGTCTCTGATGTATAGTTTTGATTAATGAACGTTGAATAGTACAAGGAATGTATTTTGAATTTTGAGGCATGTATTATGTATGGTAATTTCTTGTACTAAGGGACCTGAATGGTGTATAAACATGTATTTCTTCTGTATGAAGTATGTGTTACATGCAATGTGTTGTATGGGGTGTTACAATTGTTGATGATAAAAAAAGGTGCATACAAGACTTTGCAACTCCTGAATCTGGTCAATTAAATTCGATGATTCTTAGACCCAACATCACAACACAAAACTTCTAGTTTATGCCGGTACTGTTCCAACAATCCAAGCAATGTGTCAATTTGGAGGACTACTGCTAAATATCTGCACCCTCATTTAAAATTATTTTTAGAAATGTTAGACAATTTTTTAATTCCAGAAGGAATCCTTCAGGCCTAAGATCTTCTCTTATACATTAAGGGATAGAGCCAAAGCCTCGCTAAATTCTCAGCCACCTAATTCAACCACTACTTGGGAAAAATTGGCTATGAAATTTCTAAAATAAATACTTTACTCAAGTAGGAACGTAAAATTTAGAAATAAGATTTTGTTGTTTCAGCGAGGGGATGAAGAAGTAGTTTTTGATGCTTGGAAGATGTTCAAGGAACTTCTTAGGAAGTGTCCTCATCATGGAATTCCCCATTGTATCCAACTAGAAACATTTTATAATGTCTTTCTAATAATACTAATATCATCCTCGATGCTATGGTCGGCGACCCTTTCAATTCAAAAACTTATAATTAAGGGTATGAGATTTTGGAAAAAATTACTAACAACAACACTGAGTGGTCAACATCCTGTGCACTTCCTTGAAAAATGCAATGGGTGTTCATGAACTTTATGCAATCATCACTTTAAATGCACAAAATGTAGCTCTCACTAACTTAGTTCAAAAAAATAATTTTAACGTAAATGGGGAAAAGAACAAAGTACAATCTATAATGACCAATCTCCCATAAATGAAACATGTGTGTTTTGTGGTGAAAATCATGCTTCTGAATGTTGTTCTTGTAATCTTGTGTCCGTGAACTATGTATGGATGTCTGAATATTCATACACACTTTTGGTCCACTTTAAGTACGTTTTTAGGATTTTATTTTCTTATTTTTATTATCTCAATAAAAAATTGAGTCTTTTTATGCTTATTTTACTTCTATTGAGTCTAGAGCTAAGTTGTAGAATTTGGTCATATTTATGTTGAAGAAGGCAAAAAGAAGCAATTTGCTACTGTAGACTTGCTGCAGCAGTCCGCATCAACAGTATCCAGCCAGGTTGGTGGTTCGATTTAGAGATGGCCAAATGGGCCAAATTTTATCCGTAGATGTAGGATCTGAATTCAACTTTGGTATTGATCTAATACTCTAAATAAGCTCTAAAACAATTGAAGTGCAGCGGAAATATTAATAAGAGCAAAGCA